TCCCTGTCTTAACTGCCATCTTTTTAAAAGAGCGCCTACCACCAACACCATCTCGCCTAACTACACAACGTTATTTAAATGACCGATTCTATCTACTAGTTTTTTGTTGTTGTTGTTGCTTTATTTCCAATTCCACGAACAGTTGTTTGTTGTTATATAGCAAATGGTCCTTCAAAATTACGATTTAATGTTGTCATTGTAGCTCTGATCGACAACGACAACAAATTTCAAAACAGTAGTTTTTCTCTATGCATCATAGTATTCACTTTAGTTAAACGCAAATGTAGTGGTAAATTCTGTAATTTTTCAAACAACTAGTTTGGAATTTGATTCTCAATTTAGTTTCTAATTTAACTTTACACAACCAACAGCGCCGAAGTCAACGTCGTTATGTTAAGTGTTTTTTAGCAAAAATATTTTTATTACAAAAACAAGTGCAATTATTACAATTTATGATGCGCATGCGCAATTGAGGTGCATTCAGATGATGATGCGCTTGGGCTCACTGTACCACACATGCCTCCAAAGACGTTGAAGAAGAGGAAGAAGAAGAGTCAGTTGATAAACATGATGATTACTATATACCATAAACTGGTGTTTGTATCTCTATGATTGTGTGAGCTTGTAATATGAGGCGTTAAATGGAAAGAAAAACGTGTTTTTGTTGCAGTTCATTTGGACGCTTAATAAACAAATAATTGTGTTCGCTTAACAAGCGTTTTTTTAATTGTTCTCTCATAAAAATTGACCGTTAAAATATTGTACGTGTATTTGATTTTGAATTCTATTGGTTACAACAATTTTAAGTTGTTTTGTTGTTGTTATCTTTATTTATTCTTGTTATAGAAAAATTAATTTTTTTTTGTTATTATCAAATTTCTAATTTTCTATACTTTTGGCTAATTTTTTCTATCGAAGTTAATAAAATGTTTATATGAGGTTTGTTTGATTTTTTGTAAGAAAACTTTGACTCTGACATTTTATAGAAAATCTTGCTTAGACAAATTTTCTTCTCGAAATTTTATCAGAATCTGATATCTATTCTATAGCAAAACTCGACCATATCTGACTATATGATCAGGAGAATTTTTCCATAAGTTATCTTTGCCGATTCTGATAACTTTTCTATGGGAAACTTGATCATATTCCGAAAGGAAAACCTGATCACATATTGACAACTTTTCTGCAGAAAAACTTGATCAGATCACTACTTTGTTAAAGAAAAATTCGATCAGATACTGATCAGTTTTCTTTGGAAAACTCGATCAGATACTGATCACTTTTCCCTAGAAAACTCGATCAGATCAGTTTGCTGTAAGAAAACTTGATCAGATACTGATCAGTTTTCTATATAAAAACTCGATCAGCTACCAATCAGTTTTCTATAGGAAAACTTGATCAGTAACTGATCAATTTTCTATAGTAAAACTTGATCAGTAACTGATCAATTTTCTATAGGAAAACTTGATCAGTAACTGATCAATTTTCTATAGGAAAACTTGATCAGTAACTGATCAATTTTCTATAGGAAAACTTGATCAGTAACTGATCAATTTTCTATAGGAAAACTTGATCAGTAACTGATCAATTTTCTATAGGAAAACTTGATCAGTAACTGATCAATTTTCTATAGGAAAACTTGATCAGTAACTGATCAATTTTCTATAGGAAAACTTGATCAGTAACTGATCAATTTTCTATAGGAAAACTTGATCAGTAACTGATCAATTTTCTATAGGAAAACTTGATCAGTAACTGATCAATTTTCTATAGGAAAACTTGATCAGTAACTGATTAATTTTCTATAGGAAAACTTGATCAGTAACTGATCAATTTTCTATAGGAAAACTTGATCAGTAACTGATCAATTTTCTATAGGAAAACTTGATCAGTAACTGATCAATTTTCTATAGGAAAACTTGATCAGTAACTGATCAATTTTCTATAGGAAAACTTGATCAGTAACTGATCACTTTTCTATAGAAAAACTTGATCAGTAACTGATCAATTTTCTATAGAAAAACTTGATTAGTAACTGATCAATTTTCCATAGGAAAACTTGATCAGTAATTGATCAATTTTCTTTAGGAAAACTTGATCAGTAATTGATCAATTTTCTATAGGAAAACTTGATCAGTAATTGATCAATTTTCTATAGGAAAACTTGATCAGTAACTGATCAATTTTCTATAGGGAAACTTGATCAGTAATTGATCAGTTTTCTATAGGGAAACTTGATCAGTAATTGATCAGTTTTCTATAGGAAAACTTGATCAGTAACTGATCAATTTTCTATAGGAAAACTTGATCAGTAACTGATCAATTTTCTATAGGAAAACTTGATCAGTAACTGATCAATTTTCTATAGGAAAACTTGATCAGTAACTGATCAAATTTTCTATAGGAAAACTTGATCAGTAACTGATCAATTTTCTATAGGAAAACTTGATCAGTAACTGATCAATTTTCTATAGGAAAACTTGATCAGTAACTGATCAATTTTCTATAGGAAAACTTGATCAGTAACTGATCAATTTTCTATAGGAAAACTTGATCAGTAACTGATCAATTTTCTATAGGAAAACTTGATCAGTAACTGATCAATTTTCTATAGGAAAACTTGATCAGTAACTGATCAATTTTCTATAGGAAAACTTGATCAGTAACTGATCAATTTTCTATAGGAAAACTTGATCAGTAACTGATCAATTTTCTATAGGAAAACTTGATCAGTAACTGATCAATTTTCTATAGGAAAACTTGATCAGTAACTGATCAATTTTCTATAGGAAAACTTGATCAGTAACTGATCAATTTTCTATAAGAAAACTTGATCAGTAACTGATCAATTTTCTATAGGAAAACTTGATCAGTAACTGATTAATTTTCTATAGGAAAACTTGATCAGTAACTGATCAATTTTCTATAGGAAAACTTGATCAGTAACTGATCAATTTTCTATAGGAAAACTTGATCAGTAACTGATCAATTTTCTATAGGAAAACTTGATCAGTAACTGATCACTTTTCTATAGAAAAACTTGATCAGTAACTGATCAATTTTCTATAGAAAAACTTGATTAGTAACTGATCAATTTTCCATAGGAAAACTTGATCAGTAATTGATCAATTTTCTTTAGGAAAACTTGATCAGTAATTGATCAATTTTCTATAGGAAAACTTGATCAGTAATTGATCAATTTTCTATAGGAAAACTTGATCAGTAACTGATCAATTTTCTATAGGGAAACTTGATCAGTAATTGATCAGTTTTCTATAGGGAAACTTGATCAGTAATTGATCAGTTTTCTATAGGAAAACTTGATCAGTAACTGATCAATTTTCTATAGGAAAACTTGATCAGTAACTGATCAATTTTCTATAGGAAAACTTGATCAGTAACTGATCAATTTTCTATAGGAAAACTTGATCAGTAACTGATCAATTTTCTATAGGAAAACTTGATCAGTAACTGATCAATTTTCTATAGGAAAACTTGATCAGTAACTGATCAATTTTCTATAGGAAAACTTGATCAGTAACTGATCAATTTTCTATAGGAAAACTTGATCAGTAACTGATCAATTTTCTATAGGAAAACTTGATCAGTAACTGATCAATTTTCTATAGGAAAACTTGATCAGTAACTGATCAATTTTCTTTAGGAAAACTTGATCAGTAATTGATCAATTTTCTATAGGAAAACTTGATCAGTAATTGATCAATTTTCTATAGGAAAACTTGATCAGTAACTGATTAATTTTCTATAGGAAAACTTGATCAGTAACTGATCAATTTTCTATAGGAAAACTTGATCAGTAACTGATCAATTTTCTATAGGAAAACTTGATCAGTAACTGATCAATTTTCTATAGGAAAACTTGATCAGTAACTGATCAATTTTCTATAGGAAAACTTGATCAGTAACTGATCAATTTTCTATAGGAAAACTTGATCAGTAACTGATCAATTTTCTATAGAAAAACTTGATCAGTAACTGATCAATTTTCTATAGAAAAACTTGATTAGTAACTGATCAATTTTCCATAGGAAAACTTGATCAGTAATTGATCAATTTTCTTTAGGAAAACTTGATCAGTAATTGATCAATTTTCTATAGGAAAACTTGATCAGTAATTGATCAATTTTCTATAGGAAAACTTGATCAGTAACTGATCAATTTTCTATAGGGAAACTTGATCAGTAATTGATCAGTTTTCTATAGGAAAACTTGATCAGTAACTAATCAATTTTCTATAGGAAAACTTTATTAGTATAGGAAAACTTGATCAGTTTTCTATAGGAAAACTTGATCAGCTTTCTATAGGAAAACTTGATCAGTTTTCAATAGGAAAACTTGATCAGATACTGATAAGTTTTCTATAGGCAATCATGATCAATTACTGATCAGTTTTCTATAGGCAATCTTGATCAAGAACTAAACAGTTTTCTATAGGAAAATTCAATCAGATTGATTACATTCTGGCAACTTTACTATAGAAAATCTTGATAAAATTCTGGCGAAGTTTCAATAGACAATCATGATCTCCTAAAGGTCTTTGAAGTCCCCTAGTCATCGTTCCTATTGCTCTTCCGTTATCTTTATATTAATTTTGCAATTATTTATTTAATGAAAAGATAAATAAAAATGCACTTATAAAACACTCTTATTTTTTGTACTTATTAAAGTTATCATTACACAAACTAAGTTAAATAACTAACATAACTTCAGAAAGTGTATATTAGGGGTAAAACAAAATTTCGAACCAAGTTTTCCTATAGTAAAGTCAAGATCAGATCAAGCTATATTGTAGAAAAGTTGTCAAAGTATAATACAAATTTGTTATGCAAAGTTAATCAGTTATAGAAAGGTTGTCAAGAATTTGATCGAGACATTTGATACAAAAGTCTGATTTGTAAAAAAAAACTTTGATCAAATTATAGAATTTAAAAATAATTTTTAACCAAATTTCTAATAATTTTATTTTTTATCTTTTTTAATTTTTTAGAAAAACACGGATCGCAATTTAACCAATCAATTGGCGCAAATGCACTCATCATCTAAGAATCATGCCTCTAGTAATAACAAATATAACCGCTACTCTTGGGGTAGTGGTCATAGTTCGTCATCCCTGCACAGTAGTGCTGCCACTTTGGGCATTGGTTCGGGTAAAGATGATTTATGGGCTGCCATACAAACGAATTACAATTATATTATGGACACCAACCTCTTGGACACGTGCAAAGAGGCTAGATGTGAGATAGAGGGCGCTGTTAGTGTATTGGAAGATACGATGGATAAAAGTTTTAAGGTGAGTTAAGAAACGGATAAATGTGGGGAATATAATTTTGAGTGGTGGGGTTATAAAGTATTTTGTTAAAAGGTTGATGGCTGGACTCATATAATGTTAGGGTATGTGGCTTACTTAATGATGTTGAATTTTGGCCTGTGGGGAGATTGCTTATGTTTTGTGGTAGTTAGTGTCTGTATTAAATGTGAGGGGAATTTTTGTTTGGTTTGTGTCTTTGCTAATATGGTCTTTACAAAGTGCCTAGTGTAATTATTGTGTTGGGTTTTTTAAGGGGTGTATTTATATAATGGGATTTATTTTGGATTCTAAGTTAATTTTTTTTTCAATTTTTTCCATTGCCTACTTTTAGTTGCTGGACGATAATAATCGTAACGTGGGCTCTTGTGAAGATCCCAAAGAATTACGTAAATGGTTACGTGATATGGAAAACAAATTAGAAAATGCACCCTCCTTATCGGAAGCCACCATGTTGACATGTGCTGAATTAGAATCACATCTTAATGAACATACGGTAAGTACAATGTTTTCCTTTTTAAAATTAAAAAGTAAGGAAATTATAAAAAATGAAAGGGATTTAATAACTCATGATCAAATTTTGACAAGATCAGATTCTGACGACTTTTCTATAGGAAAACTTGATCAGATTCTAACAACTTTTCTATAGGAAAACTTGATCAGATTCTGACAACTTTTCTGTAGCAAAACTTGATCAGATTCAGACAACTATTCTATGGGAAGACATGATCCAATTCTGACAACTTTTCTATAGGAAAACTTTATCATATTCTAACAACTTTTCTATAGGAAAACTTGATGAGATTCTGACAACCTTTCTGTACGAAGACTTTTCCATAGGAAAACTTGATCTGATTCTGAACACTTTTCTATAGGAAAACTTTATCAGATTCTGACAACTTTTCTATAGAAAAACTTGATCAGATTCTGACAACTTTTCTATAGGAAAACTTTATCAGATTCAGATATTTCTATTGGATAAATCGGTCAGATTTTGACAACTTTTCTATAGGAAAACTTGATCAGATTCTGGCAAATTTTTATATAGGACAACTTGATTAGATTCAGAGAACTTTTCTATAGAAAAACTTAATCCGATTCTGATGTTTGTTCTATGAATCAGATTCTGAAAACTTTTCTATACAAAACTTGATCAGATTCTGACAACTTTTCTATGGGAAGACATGATCCAATTCTGACAACTTTTCTATAGGAAAACTTGATCATATTCTAACAACTTTTCTATAGGAAAACTTGATCAGATTACGTCAACTTTTCCTTAGGAAAACTTGGATCCGATTCTGACAACTTTTCTATAGGAAAACTTGTTCACATTCTAACAACTTTTCTACAGAAAAAAATTATCAGATTCTGACAACGTTTCTGTAAAAAAAACTTGATCAGATTATGACAACTTCTTTATAGGAAATCTACATAGACATCATTTCATTTTTATCTCTGTGATTCATTGCAAATTAAATTTAATGTGGAATTTTGAAGGTTAAACCACAATAATTCAAACAGCAAAACATCTAAAAGCTTCTTTTCAATATAAATTTTATTAATTGAATTTAGCTTCTAGTAATGTGAGAAAAATATATTTTTTTTTTACGAAAAGAAACTAAAAGCAAAAATTCTTGTATAGAAAATAAAATTTTTTCTCATTTTTTCATATATTAATAAATGAAAAATAATACTCAGCATTAATCAAATTATTAAGATTATAAATTTTTTTTATAAAGAGTTTCTTTATTTGTGGTATTTAGATTAAAAAAATCCGTTGCTGCTGTTTTCTTTCTTTTTCATTTAGTTTTTATTACAAATTTCTAATCTCGTGCGGCAAAAGGAAAAAAAAAAACAAACACAAAAGAACATAAAAGTTGCATTAACATTTCTGCCGCATATGTGCTGCTAAAGAGTTTTCATAGAAGTTTAGTAGCACAGTTAAGGTGAAAATGAAATTAAATAAAAGGCATTTGTTTGAGAAGAGAAAAAAAAATACCAAATCTAAAAGCTTTAATACAAAATATCTAGTACAATTTTTGCAATTCTTTTCATATTGTGAAAGAAAGAATGAAAATAACAACTGTTGCTCTTTATGGGAGGTAAAAGTTTAAAGTAAAATTTTGCAAAAACAAAAATTAACTTAAACAAAAGCTTTAGAAATTGTTTGCATGACTTTTAATTGGGTCGTATTAAAAATGTTATAAGAGAAAAGCTATATATATGGATATTATTCTTTTTCATAGAAATTTTGTGGGATTCTGAACAAGATCAGAAACTGATCAAGTTTTCCTAAAGAAAACTGATCAGAAACTGATCGAATTTTCCTAAAGAAAATTGATCAGAAACTGATCAAGTTATCTTATAGAACATTTATCAGAAACTGATCAAATTTTCATAAAGAAAAGTGATCAGAAACTGATCAAGTTATCCTATAGAAAAATGCTCAGAAAATGACCAAGTTATCCTATAGAAAACTGCGCATAAACTGATCAAGCTTTCCTATAGAAAACTGATCAGAAACTGATAAAGTTTCCTAAAGAAAAGTGATCAGAAACTGATGAAGTTTTCCTAAAGAAAAGTGATCTAAAACTGATCAAGTTTTCCTAAAGAACAGTAATCAGAAACTGATCAAGATATCCGATAGGAAACACATCAGAAACTGATCAAGTTTTCCTATAGAAAACTGATCAGAAACAAATCAAGTTTTCTTAAAGAAAACTGATTAGAAACAGATGAAGTTTTTCTAAAGAAAAGTGATCAAGTATTCCTATAGAAAACTGATTAAGTTTTCCCATAGAAAACTGATCTAGTTTTCCTATGGAAAACTGATCAAGTTTTCCTATAGAAAACTGATCAAGTTTTCCTATAGAAAACTGATCAAGTTTTCATATAGAGAACTGATCAAGTTTTCCTATAGAAAACTGATCAAGTTTTCCTATAGAAAACTGATTAAGTTTTCTTATTAAAAACTGATCAAGTTTTTTATAGAAAACTGATCAGAAACGGATAAAAATTTCTTATAGAAAAGTTGATTAGAAACTGATCAAGCTTTTTTTATAGAAAAGTTGATCAAGTTTTTCTTAGAGAAAAGTTGATCAGAAACTGATCATGTTTTTATTTTAGAAAAATTTCTTATGGAAATGTTGATCCGCAACTGATCAAGTTTTTCTTATAGGGAAGTGATGAAGTTTTTAATCAGATTTTGATCCGAAACTGATGAAGTTTTTGATCAAATTCTGATCAAGTTTTTCTTGTAGATTTTCTTCTAGAAAGTGATCAATATTCTGATCAATACTTTTCTATAGAAAATTTAATAAGAATCTGATAAGGTTTTCTTTTGAAAGTGATCAGTATCTGATCATGTTATCTTATAGAAATATTTCATCAAGTTTTGTTATAGAATTTGATCAGTATCTTATTCATTACAATCTGTTGAAGTTCTCTTATGGAAAACTAATTGGAATCTGCTTAAGTTTTCCTATAACATAATTGTCCGACTGTGATCATGCCGAACCTGTTGATTCAATTTACGAAAATTTTACGTTTTTTTTTTTTGCAAATTTCCTTAAACAAAATTTTGGTGTTTCGATAAGATCAACATGTAGTTTTTTTTTTGCTGTTTGTCTCCCGATCTTCTAATCCAGATATTGTCAATTTCCACTTGATTTCTTTTTTGTCCACCACCAACCAACCACCATCATCAGTAAGTGAAAGGTCTTTAACACAATAAAACAGGCAGCCTGGATGGCTGCTAAAGAAAAACACATTTTATCAGTACCGTTATAGTTTAATATAATACTTTTTTCCCCCCATTTGTTGACTTTTTTCAAATTGTTTACAGTGTCATATTTAAACATTACAAAATATATTTATCTATTTTTGAGCTGGTGACCATTTTTGGTTAAACAAGGATGTATAATAAAAAGGCTGGAAAAAAAAAGCCAATAGTAGAAGAAAAATACTATCAAAAAACAACAAAGAAGACCAAGTTAGCGTACGATGACAAAAAAAAAAAACTAAAACACAAATACATTTTAGCAAGTGTTTCTGTTTTAGTTTAAGTAGTTGGGGGTATTGTCTTTTTATGAAAATCAAAACAACATAAAATATTCAATATTAGAAATCCATAAAAAACAGAATTTAAAAAGTGAAGGTGGATTTTGTTTTTCAATACACTTTTTGGCAGTTACAATTTAGTGATCATTTCATTTTTCTTCACTCTGCTCTGTTTATTTGTTACCAAGAAAATCTACTAAAATTTAAAGAAACAAAAAACCGTTACTTTAGCAAAGTAAATGACAAAAAAGTTTTGGGGGAAAAAAATCTATAACAATATTACAAGCTTATTGAAACTATTGTAGAGCAATTTTAAAAGCTTTTTTTTATTTGTTTTGTTGGATTACAACGTTTTTACTGTTTTCATTCATTTATTGTTGCATTTGTTGTTTCTATGAACGTTTTTTTTGAGTGTGTTTTTTGTAACCATTGTTGTAAAATTTTGAACTAAAGCACGAGCCAAATTATAATAAAAAATTTAAACTGAACTGCCACTTGACTTTGTTAAGGTTTTTTCTTTTCATTTTAAGTTGGTTTTTGAGTAACCACCACCACCACCACCACCATCAACCAACTAACCACCTCGACCATTAAGCCATTATTACATGATGTTATGTCTTTTACATTGTTGTTGTTATTATTGCTGTTGGTTTTCTTGTTAGATCGTAGACTTCTTTTGTTATGTTGTTCCTCTATAAGCCATAATTTAACTGCTCTGCATAAATACATTAGGGAAGTTTTTAAACTTAAACTGTTTATAGTTTTTCTTTTGCCCAGTAAAAAAAAATATGCAGCTTTTTAGTCTCGTTAATAGAAAATTGTATTTTTAAGTGGGTGGTTTGGTAAGTGATTTAAAGCTCTTACCTTAGCAGCTTCCAATTAAGTTTTCTTAAAGAAAAGTTTTCAAACCTGAATAAATTCGCCACACTCTAGACAAGCTTTCTCATATAAAGCTTTCGCTGTGTGATCATATTTTCTTATAGAAAAGCTCTCCAATTCGATCAAGCTTTCTTACAGAAAATTTTGATCACAATCTGATGAAGTTTTCTCATGTTTTCTTATAGAAAAATTGATTACAATGTGATCAAGTTTTTTATATAGAGAAAGTTGATCAGAATCTGATCAAGTTTTCTTATAGAAAAAAGTTGATGAGAATCTGATCACGGTTTCTTATAGAAAACAGTTGATCAGAATCTAATCAAGTTTTCTTATAGAACACTTTGATCAGAATCTGATCAAGTTTTCTTATAGAACACTTTGATCAAAATCTGAACACGTTTTCTTTGATCAAAATCTGATCACGTTTTCATACTTCATCAAATACTAAACAGTTGATCACAATCTGATTAAGTTTTCTTATAGAAAAAAGTTGATCACAATCTGATCAAGTTTTCTTATAGAACACATTGATCAGAATCTGATCAAGTTTTCTGA